TTGAGATTTGTTTGTTTGTTTGAAAAGATGGATGTGAGAAGGGAAGCAGGTGATAAGGGGAAGAAAGAGAGGAGGGAGGAGAGAAGGAGACAGAGGAGGGCCGAGAGGGCGAGGAGTATGAATGTTATTGGTAGTGTGGAGGAAGATGTGGAGGGAGAGGAGTGGTTGAGCAAGGAGGAGGCGAGGGAAAGAATGAAGGCGAAGAGGGAGTTAAGGAGGAGGATTCAGGCTTGGATAGAAGATGTGGAGCGAGAGGAGAGGTTGAGCAAGGAGGAAGCGAGGGAAAGAATGAAGGCGAAGAGGGAGTTAAGGAGGAGGATTCAGGCTTGGATAGAAGATGTGGAGCGAGAGGAGAGGTTGAGGAGGCAGGAGGAGGCGAGGGAAAGAATGGAGGCGAAGAGGGAGGAGAGGAGGAGGAGGATTCAGACTTGGATTGACGACGTTGAGAAAGAGAGAGTGGGAGAAGGTGAAGAAGAAGAAGACATTTATTGTTGTATCATTATATAAATAATTATGAATAAAAAGTTTGAAATGTAGTGTTTTTTTTTTTCTAAAAGTAAAAGTCGAAATTGTGCATGATTTGTGGGGAATAAACTACTGAAGCGATCCGATTGAAACTTGGTAGAGTGATAGACAAATGGTTCCCGTCAATAGCAAAAATAACTGCATCTCAATCGAAGCTTTATTTGCCGAGATGTAAGCTTAGAAAGTGGAAAATTCAATGTAGCATGCTGCCTAAGCTCCGCGTAATCTCAGTCTAACTTCACCGACGGTCAGCCAGATGGTAGAGCTACCTGCCTGTCAAATTTCAATTCTTCGGACTTGGTCAAAATGTAGAGAAAATCACGTAGTTCTAACGACTGGGGAAGGTTTATTGGACCCTCATAGTTCTAATAACTGGGGGAGGTTTTTTGAACAATTATTTATTATAACCTTCATATAATATGGCAAACAATGTCCTGAAAACCTTTTTGTCCAAAATACCTTTGTTTCATAAAAAAAAACTTGACAAGTTGATTTTTCAGTCATTTTTCAAGATTTTCCAATGAAT